TCAAATTATGCCATCACAAATTACTCGTATTTCTTGTGAAGTTTGAAAGCAGCAAGCACATCCAGCAAAAGATGTATGTGCCAATGAGCCAAGCAGAGACACGGCTATGGCAGCAGCCACTTGGTGTTGATGATAGTCATTAGAGAAAATTCTAACTATATGTGTATGAAGAGTAATAAATAATGATAGCGAGTTCTGACAAATTCGACTAATTTTATATGATTAAAGGACGATGTCGTCATGAACATTAACGAAATCATGATAATGTCAGTCTCAACTCACATAAATCAGCGAAAGTTGTCGAACTCCGAATTATTATTCATGTACAAATTCGATTAATGGAATAAAATAAGCCAACCATTAATTAGCTGGATGATCTTGGTCTAAAGCACAAGAATGCGGTTGGGATTTTGTATTCAATCAATCCAACTCAAAATCAATTTGGTTGGCTTGGGTTAGGCATCAATTAATCAATTCCATTTTTTCTACTAATTTCAATTAAACTAATGCTAATGACAATTGGGCACGTATCATTTATAACAACTTAGCCCACATTAGTTGGACAATCTTGGACAAGCTTCTTAGTGCACCAGGTTGGGTTTATGTTAAAACAATACCCAACCCAAATTTAATTTGGTTGGCATTTGGTCACGGATCAATCAATTCAAGTAGATTTGAAACTTATCAGGAGTTTTAGTCAGAAAAAAATTGGTAATATTAGGTGACACTTAAATTTGTGATGACTATGGTTCCAAATGATATTAAAGGAGGTCGGCTATGATAGCTAGATTTTCAAAAGGACGAATTGGGAATAAATAATGCAGGATTTTTATAAAAAGGTTAGATTATGGAACGAGGATCCCCTCCTGGATCCAATTATGAGATTATCCCCTTTAGTGGGGCCCGCATGCTACTTGGACTTAAGTTATTCAATTTTTTTAAATGAGTGTCGCTCTTATCGGCTACACATGCTCTCGCTCTAACATTTTGCGCGCGTTAAATCTTTTTCTTACACTACATAACTTAAATTTTGTCCTTTTTGCACTCTTACTCTTGCATTAGTTCTATTTTTCAGTTATTCAATTTTATTAAATGGGTGTCGCTCTTATCGGCTGCACATACTTTCGCTCTAACACTTTGCGCGCATTAAATCTTCTTCTTACACTACATAACTTAAATTTTGTTTTTTTTGTACTCTTACTCTTTCATTAGTTCTATTTTTCAGTTCCAGCTAGTTTCGGCTTGGACCAGTACTATATATATATATATATATATATATATATATATATATATATATAGTATTTTGAAGGAGGAGGAATTAAGTTGATTTTGTATGGCCTAAAAAGTGAGAACTGAAATGAAAGGATTAAAACTAAGGAAAAATGAATAAGAACCTCTTAAATAATGTCTTGCCTAATGGATCTAAAAAATGAAGGGTTAAAATCACTAAAAAAAAAAAAAATCCCCTTTTACCATCAAAACTATACATAAAACCTCTACTAGAATTAAAGAAAAAAAAAACTCTATACTATAAAAAGCTATCAAGTTACCCTTATGTCCATAACTGACCATTAATTAAGTTGTGAAATGACAAAATTGACCTTATGATTATTTTTTTTTTCCTTCTAAAATTACAAAATACCCCTTTAAGCAGATCATCTTCTTTTTTACGTCCTCTCCCTCTAGAACTGAAACTTCCTCCCTCTAAAATCACACCTAGTCACCACCACCTCACCACCCATCCAAGATCTCAGGCCAAGGTTGTGCTGAACCATGTATATCGCAGTGTTCTTTAGTTTGAAAATTTTCTAACCTTATAGTACTCTCTTTAATTTTAGTACTTTACATCTTAATTGTTATATTTTATTTACCTTTATAAGAGTATATGTAATTCTTTAGGATGTAGTTTGAGAAGAAAAGTGTGTGGGAGTTTTGGTGTTCTTAGTCCCGGAAAAGAATAGAGAGTTCTGGTATTCTTAGGACCGTAAAAGAACAAAAAAGGGAAAAATTGTTTTGACCCAGACTCATAGCACTTCACTCTACCAAGACCCAACTTGCTGAACACCCATGCCTTTGCGATTCCCTTGTCCAACAGCTCTCGACTTCAAACTTACTCCTTGAACCTTGTAGAAGGATTGCTGATAGAACAACACCACTTTGCAAAGCGCCTTGACCCCTTCAAAGTGTGATCTAAACACCTTTCTTCTTCAAATATGAATTTGTTGTAGAAAGAATGAATAATACTTTCTCTAATCGATATTGATGATATCTTCAAACTCGTACTCTAATCAAAATAAGAATAACACATTAAATCACTGGTGTGTATAGTGTGTATGCTCTGAATGAAAAATACTGAAAAATCTCACAAATATGGCTCTCAATTAAATTAGAATTTTGTATGCAAAAAGTCGTGAAATCCTAAGTGAGAAAATATGTTTTTATAGACTTTTGAAACCCTAATTACACTTGGAAAACAAGTCAATTTCGTTCATGATCATTATGGTAAAAGTCTATGCAAAATAGGAAGTCAAAATAGACAAGGAAACTAAGTTACCTGTGACGTTTCCGATTTTCGGCACTTTCCATTTGTCCGGAATTTCGTCAAAGTAAGGGTATTTCTGTCTTTTCACGTTTTTCGTGTGGGATTGTGGTTGGGTCTAATTACATTTGGTGCATTTTAATTTATATGATGGTGTGACATTTAAATGGTGATGCATTTTATATGGTGTAAAATTTCAAGTAAAAACTAATGAGAAAAGAAATAAAATTCGTGAGGCCCACCACTATATCAAAAGTGGTCTAGAGACCCCAATTCTGCCTTCTCATTTCTCTCTCCCATAAGTTCCTCTCTCTCGCTCTTGTTCTTGTTTTTTTCTTTTTCATTTTACTTCAAATCTTTGAAGCTTGATTCCATCTTCAATCCTTGGAGTTTTTGAGTGCCGTTTGAGGCAAAATGAAGAGCACGACAAGCTCTACGCATGTGTACCAGAAATTCCAGCTTTGAGCCTACCTAGGGACTTTGAAAATTTGAACCCATTTTAAGGATTTTGTTCAAAATCAAGGTAGGAGTTCTTAATCCATGAAGTATTGTGCGTTAGTGAATTAATCCCTCTTAAATTGTTGTTTAGCATGATCAATTTGTTTAGAACTTTAGTAAATTGTTAGTTGTTATGTGTATTCATTAATTGTGCAACTATGTGTGGTAAATGAGTTATGTAAAGAGCATGTTTATGGGATGATTTATATATGTTCGTCTTGCTAAAATTATATTGTATAAAAGCATGTTGTAATTTCTTTAGAAATCCTTGTGAAACTATGCTTCGATTACTAAAGTTGAATTGGTTATGGAATAATGGACATGACATGGTATTGATGCATCCGTGCGCTTGCATTGGGCATGAAGTGGGAGAATTTTTCCTTTGAAATAAAAAGTGGAATTTTGGAAAAGAGTTTTTATGAAATGGTTTTATGAAAACCCAGTCGCAGCGGGGATACCAAATGGTCGGAGTGTTAATATAGCCTAGAGGGAACTAGGGAGTCGCCCTAGCGTGGTTGAGCTAGCTGGGCCCCATAATGACGCTGCGGGGATACCAAGGGTCAGGGACACTAACCAATCCTTCTCTCGTGTCGCTGCGGGGTCACCAAAGAGCGGGTTATGTTAACAGTTTGAAAGTGATGGTTTCGAATATTGAAAATGGGAAATAACATCGACATGCATTGCATTCCATGACATTGCATTGATTGTATTTGAATTTGGTTAACATGTTGTATTATCCCGACATTGTGTGATCCCCATTCCTATTGATCTATTCTTTGTATGGATTCATAAGGACACAAGATGCGTGTCTTAAGTGCTACCTACTGAGCTTTATACTCACCCTATTATTTAATAATTTTTTTTCAAGAAACGGGAAAGAAGTGGCGGATGACTTTCCACCACAGGCCTAATTTGGATTAAAACACTTCTTTTTGCTATTTTTGTATTAAGTCCCATATTTTTGTAAAATCTTAGTTTGTTATATTTGGTATAGAGATTTGTGAACTCTAGTTATTGTAACTATATTTTGGGACTGTAATTATGATAATTTGGATTAAACGGTATGTAGATATTCCACCATGAGATGAGCCATGTTGAGGTATAATGAATGGATGGATGGGATGTTGGAGTATATTAATTGTATTATGTGTTGGGACAGGTTGGAGGTGTTTTGAAAGGCCAGGAAGGGCCATTGCATTTTTTTTTTATTTGAGCAGGTGGTTGTAGTTCCTTTTTTTGGGGAGGTCATGCCAAATATATATATATATATATTTAAAAAAAGCGTATCAGTTTAGGGTCGTTACATTACCAAAATCTACTGAAGACTTGAACCGGTTTAGGGTGCTTGAACCGGTTCAAGTTGGTCAGAAAGTTTTCGAGAAAAAACAACTTTGACACTTGAACTAGTTCAAGTTGGTCAAACTTGAAAAATACCAAAAAAGTCTCAAAGTTGAACATGTTTAAAAGACTTGAACCTGTTCAAGTTGGATAGAAAGTAAAACTTCCCAAAAGCTTAATTTTAGACCTCCAAAGTGTCCTCACACACTCTCTTACCTACTTAAAGTGTTGTTTTTATCATCCCGGAGTATATCGAAGCATGAACAGTTGAACTTCTTCAATCCCGCTTTCGATTTTGATTCTTAAAAAATCGAACTGAAAGTTTGCAACTCGATCAGACTCATTTTGATAACGAAATATGCCAATTATAAATTTATATCTCACAAATGGGACAAAAGTTAGTGCTGTGAAGAGAAGAGAGAGTTTATGTAATTATTGAGGATGTAGTTTGAGAAGAAAAGTGTGTGGCGGTTATGGTGTTCTTAGTCTCGGAAAAGAACAAAGGGTTCTGGAATTCTTAGGATAGTAAAAGAACAAAAAAGGGGAAAGATGGTTTTGACATCCGTGGTTCATGTAAAATATTGTAATTCATGTAAAATAACATTTTATGCGTAGATGTGTATGATTGTTTTTTTTTTTTTAAAATATATTTATGTGATGATGTAAGTTTCACCCTACTCACCAGTGAATAGCTGCGTATTATCCAAATCAATATTCATGCAATTCCATATATTAGTCATATGGAACTTTTGAGATAATGACCATTTTACATTTATGAAAGTTCACAAATGAAGCAAACAACAAAAGAAATCTACCACACATGACCTTTTAAAAAAAGAAGGAAAAAAAACCTACCATACATTATGGATTTTAGTCCACACTCACTAGAGAACAACTTCACTTAGCCACAAATAGAAACCAAAACATGCTCAAGAGAGATCAAATTGCTCCATCACATTCTACTCATATTTCTTGTGAAGTTTGAAAGCAGCAAGCATAACCAGCAAGAGATATGCCAATGAGCCAAGCAGAGACATGGCTATGGCAGCAGCCACTTGGTGACAAAATTTATCGAAGACGTCGCATACTTTGTTCCAACGCACGTGCGAGTTGCCTTGGTAGCCAATGATGCCGATCGCAGTGGCGGCTCCGATGCTAGAGAAGAGCAGTACTAACATCACTAAATCGAGGATGATGATCATCAGAGAAAGCCATTTCCTTCTACCCATTGTGGCCAATGTGAGAACCAAAGAGAGTGCTGCATATGAGCATGTTATGGCATTTGTCACAACCAAGTACCTATAGGAAGAGGTTGACAAAATTAGTTGCTACAAACCACACACCCGGTATTCATCTATATATGTATCTATACTTAAGTTGTTTATTAATAAAGTACTGAACTAAATTCTAGCTGTTAAAGTTTTTAAGTAGTCAAAAGTAGATATTTTTTTATATTTTTTTAAATTTTCAACAATAATCAGTAATAAAATTTTACCTTATTTTAAGTGACACCTTATCATTAGTGACGCCTTATCATTTTGAATGATATTCAAATTTCGTTATTAAAAACACTTAATTAAATAAATACTTAATTCGTTCATACTTGAATACTAAATTAAATTATAATAACACAAGACATTTACGTATATATATATATATATATATATATATATATATTAAACCAACACAAAAATAATATAACCATTAATTAGATGGATGAGGATGGTCTAGTTTTGTAAAGCACGAGAATGGGTTTGGGACTTTGGGTTGAATCAATCCGACTCAAAATCAATATGGTTGGATATCAATTAACCAATTCTATTTTTTCTACTAATTTCAATTAAAGAAATAATGACAATTTGGCATATGTCATTGTTTGACAACATGGCCCACCATTAGTTGGATAATCTTGGACAAGCTCCTTGTCTTAAAACATAAACCAACGAAAAATTAATTTGGTTTGCATTTGGTCAATTCAAGTAGATTTGAAACTTGCCACGAATTTTAGTCAGAAAAATACCGGTAATAGTGAAACTTAATTTTGGATGACTTTGGTTCCAAATAACCCAGGTCGGCTATGATAGCTAGATTTTTAAATTGGTGAAATTAAGAATAAATAATGCAGCCCCCATTCTATAGGGTAATGGTCTCTTGAAAAAGGTCCATGAACCCTTTATATTAATAATTTAAAGAATTGCTAAATAACATGAAAATATTTTTATCATTCACGTACTCAAAGGACAGAGTCAGTATTTTAATTCAAAGGGAAGCAGTTTAAAAAACAAAAAAAAAAACGAAAGAAAATTAATAAATACTTTAAAGGAAAAAAAAAATAGAATATGATTCAAAAAGATAAATTTGACTTTTTTTTTTTTATAAAAGAGAAATTGAAGGATTTAAAAAAAAAAAAAAAAAAAAGAAGTTAAAATAATTTTAAAATTAAAAATTTATGGAACATATATAATTTTTCATATATATTAAAAAAAAAAATTATAAATTAACTTTATATATTCTATTGGACTTGGTTAGGTCAGGGGACATGTGCCCCTATGACTTAATTGACTCCGCCCCAACATATATTTGTAAAATAATAAATTATATTTATCCTCAGTACTATAAAAATTTCAACACAATCATGTTGAAATGAGATTTTAATACTATTATTTTTAGTTTCAAACACAATTACTTTTTAATTAGTGTCCAAACACAATTTAATTACATTAAAATTTCTCCATCACGCGTTCCACAACAGAGAATCCAGGCACAGAGATGGATAGACGTCCGAAATCGGAGCTACAACCCCACGGTGCCTAAACATTCTCCCATAAGTATATACCATTAATTTGATATATTTACATACTATATATATATATATATATATATATATATATATATATATATATATGAGAGAGAGAGAAAGGGAGAGAGATAGAACTCACACAAAGGCAGACAAGTAATTCCACTTAGCAGTGACCGGAACATTTAACGGTGGCACAACCTTGGTCTGCTTATCAACCCCAAGAACGATTGCCGCCACCAGAGTGAATGCAAAGGCCAAAAGCCTCAACACAAATTCTGAACAACTCACACTCCTTTTATTAGCCACCTTCACTTCAATATTGCCACCCTCTGATCTCACCCCATTGCTAGACATGTTTTGGCTCTCCATCAGCAAAATAGTATATTTCCAACAAAATCTAGTTATAGAAAGAGAGAGATGATGCTGGGGTGCTTATATAGAGAGAGAAAGTGTAAAACGAGGTGTGAAGGGGGAATGGGTTCCATTCATCATTATTTTGGAACTATTGATGACTTTAATGGCATGGAGGTGAGTACGTGTTTGTGTTCATGGGGAAGATGACGTATTAGTGGTTTGGTCGTTGATAGAAAATGTAGTGCTTCACTTTTGGTTCACACTTGGTGTCGACCAATTTGTTTTCCCATTGACTAAAAATTTAACCTAGCTAATATAATGAATATTTTATTTTATTTTTATATGAAATTTTTGTCGTTTTACAAACATAAAAGATGATAAATTTAAAAACACGACACTTCTGGCCTAAAATATTCAGGGGTACTGACGATTAGGGATCAACAAATAATTTGTTAATTCGTCAATTCAGTTCGAACTAATTTGATCTGTGTGGTTTGATTCGCTTTTCAGATCTCATAGTTCGGTGATAGTTTAAAAAAATAGCAATTCGCTATTCGCGATTCGGTTAACGAATTGAGCCCTGAAAAAACTAATCTGAACCGATCCGAACCGTTGCCTAAATAATATATATATATATATATATATATATATATATAATATACAATATTGTATATACTTACTGTATTTCTATTTTTTTTATTCATTATTCTACTTGGATAATTTATATTGCCTATTATTAAGCATATAATTTACAAATCTATTGTTATTATTTGGTATATGATTTACAATTTTTATTGCTAAAACTGTTAGCATGTTACCTGGTATATGATTTTCAAATTTATTTTATTTTTCAATTTTTAATTACTAATTTGAGATTTTAATGGCCATAAAGTCTAATTATATTGGACTATTTGAAAAGCCCAATCCGTCAAAACCGATCCGATTCGATCCGTTATTTCACGGATCAGTTTGGTTTGGATTGAAAGTCCTCACGAATCAGTTCGGTTTCAAATTTCTCCAATCCGTGAAAACCAATTGGAATTGAACTTTATCCCAAATCGAACCGATCCGAGCCGTGATCATTCCTAACTACAATGACAACTTTTGAGGCTATGGTAAATATTTTCTGAATAAAGATTTTGAAAGTAATTGTCACTCCCAATTTAAACATTGTTTCGCATTTTACTCACAACCAATCTATCAATTGTACATAGGGTTAGAACCCTAGAACCATGTAAAATAACTTCGACATTCTTTTGACCTTTTCAAAAACACTCTTTAACCTTAAAGAATTAGATAAAAGACTGATATGCCCAATAAGTACTTTATAAATTCTCAATTATATATTCTCTATATATATCTTTATATCATTTTAATTATGGGTAATTTACACAAACCTCTCTTATGATTTGTCATAATTAAAGGGACCTCCCCTCTTGGTTCGAAAATTACGCGGACCTCCCTTAAGAATGAAAATAATTTACATGGACCTCCCTTCTGTTAGAGTCAACGCCGATCAACAAAGGAAATTGCTGACGTCACGTACAAATTTTACTAAAATCTCCATAATACCCTTATCCCTACCAAATGATGTATGTATATATATATATATATATCTCATAAACATGGAAACTTCTGATAAGAACACAAAACCTCGAATGCTACTGATATATGACAACTCGCAGTTCAAAGCAAATTTAAGAAACTAAGCTTTAATTTGATCACAGGAAGAATCTAATATTCAAATCAAATTCATTCAATTGCCAAAATCCTGATCTAATCCTGATTTGTTCTCTTTTCCTACATTTTCTAGGCAACCAAATGGAGAAAGAATGAGATTGCCCCTCAATTTTCACGATTAAATTTAGTTGCCATTCATGGAAAAAAAAAAAAAAAAAAAACAATAATATATTTCACAATTGAGTAAAATTCATAAAAGAAGGGTTTCACAATTGTGTCTGTGTTGGGAAACGTGCAAGTTTTTAAAAACTTTTCTAGGGATTTTGATTCATAGATCTTGATTCATCACATAGAGACAAGTTTTATGCAAAAATAAAAATATGATGTATCATTCAATTAATGGATTGAATACTTACATCAAAGATCTGAGTAAACCTTTAAAACTTTCCTTTAAAGTGAATCTTCTCACTTATTGTAGATCCCTTAGCAAGATGCCTTCTCCTTGGATCTCCATCTTCTTGGTAATTATTTTGCCTTTAGGAATCACTCATAAGCCTCCATGAATTACCTTGGAAAACTAGGCTTGTGGGAGCCTCCATTAGATGAGAACATAAACCCTAATTTTCTAGAGAGAGAAAATTTATTCCTTTTTCCTTCTCATAAAATCACACCCAAAATATACATAGACCATGTATATTTATAGGCAACATAAAGGTAAAGAAAAGGAAACAACAAATCCTTCTCCATCTCTAATTCATATGTCTCAAATCTAATATGATTCCAATATCAAGTTGGGCTATGAGTGAGAATCCATTGGGCCTATTATTTTATTGGCTACAATGAATTAATAATTGGCCCGGTCCATGGACCCAATTCAATTAATTCATAAATTAATTTCTACTCCACTAAAAGAAATTAATTGAACTCCAAATAAATAATAAATAACCTCTAAGTCAATATTGCACTTTGACCCCTCTATGCATAATTAGTTATTGGATAAATAAAGCCATCAATCCGACTACTTAATTAATATATCTATTTTGGTACCTCTGATTATTTCTGGCTCGATCACAATAAAACATTTGTTTGACAAAAATAATAATTTAAATAAATAAATATATAATAAATCATTTTGTCTAAAAACACACGAAGGCCTTCGAATTTACTTTGTGATCAACCATAATCAATACAAAATAAATACAAGTAGCAATGATGCAAATATTGAAAATATAACCCTCTAACTATTAATTACATAACTACCCAAAGTGTCGGTCTAAGGATCCTGAAGAATCCGCCGAACAAATCAAAGTAATTATTAATTAATAAAAGAGTCTATACTTTTCTCATACTTAAGAGTCAAATGCCATGACGGTGATAGGGAGTAATTGCATACGACGGCTCTCGCAATATATCTCAACCTAACGCGGATCCAGTTCAAGTCTTAATTAATTATGAGTCCATCCATAATTACCGACTATGAACAATTTATAATTACTATTTATATATCATGCATTTATTGCCATCACATACATATATATAAATATTTCTTGTAATTACATGGACACTATCAATTTCATAGTGAATCGAAATATAATACATTGAATTCACCAATTGTATAAAACATAAATATTTCAAAAACGTCAGGAACATATGTCAATTAATCCAAACAGGAATTTGCTATGCCAGGGCATATAAATCCCAACAGCTCCCACTTGCCCTCATAGCCAATTCAAATTGCACATAACTCCAATGTTATCCAGATGATGATCAAAATTATTGATCAATGACACCTTTGATAATGGATCAACAAAGTTGTGTTCCAATGCAATGTTCTAGCTACAAGTACATTTTCTTGCCGGATAATATCATGTAGAACATGATACTTCCTATCAGTGTATTTTGTTCATCTATGGAACCTTGGGTCATTGGTTTGGACTACTTCTGCACTATTGTCGCAATATAGCTCGATAGGCAGGCTAGTATGCTCCACAACCTCTAAATCAGTGAGATCAAACCAATAGGCTTATATTGCCACCTTTAAGGCTGCAATATATTCCACCTGCAGGTTTGAGTCAACAGTTGAAATCTGCTTGACAATCTACCAACTGATTTCCCTTCCATTAAGTGAACATACACTAAGTCATGAACCTCATAGTATCTACTTCTGATTGAAAATCAGAACTAGCATACCTGACTAGGACCATATCATCACATCCATAAATGAGTATGATATCATTGATTCTCCTTAGGTACTTAATGATATTTTTCACAATAGACCAGTTGTCAAGTCCAGTATTGGACTGATCTCTACTGACTATCCCTACTATGTAGCGGATGTCCTGTTTGGTATAGACCATGGCATATATGAGACTCTCATATGCTGAAACATATTGTTCCAGTCTCATTTGCTCAATCTCCTTTGATAGTCTTGAAAAACTACTTACTAGAGAGAGCCATCCATATCAATAAAGCAAGAACTCATTCTTTGAGTTATGCATACCAAACCTGGTCAAAACTTTATCAATGTAGGATTATTAAGATAAGCCTATTTTCCTTTTACCCTGATCTTGCAAAAGCTTGATCCTAGGAATCTAGCTTACATCCTGAAAATCCTTCATTTAAAAGTAATTGAACAACTACCTCTTTATTGATGACAAAACTTCCACATCATTCTAAATGAGTAGGATGTCATCAATATATATAGAATTAGAAAAATAATGACATTCCCTTGTACACTCATGATTTATTCACTAAGAAATCTTCTGGTATCTTTTTGTAGATTAACTTGCCTTCCATAGGAATCACCTTACTAGAAAGTTCTACAAGATCCCAGAATTTATTAGAATATATAGATTCCAACTCTGATTTCATAGTAACTCACCAAAACGATCTGTAGCCACATCGGTTCACGCTTCCGTGTAGCTTACTGGGTCCAACTCATGTTTAACAGGGATGTCCATAATGGTCTCACCTAAAAACATGATTCTGTCGAATTGGATGATAATCCTCCCACTACATCAATGTACCGATGCAAGAATCTGTGTAGTAGATGATGCTAACGCATCAATAGGGAATTCATTTATTATTCTCAATCTCTATAATAAGTGTGTTCACATGTGATACATTTGGTACTCATACCATATTCTCTAACATTATGCTACTAGGTATATAATTCATAATATAATCCTCCTATAGATAAACAGTGAGTGTAAACAATCAACTTTTATCATTGAGATCATAAAATAATCCATTCTAGTGACTTTTAGAGTAGCTATCAAATCTATCATGCGTACGATCTGTTTCCAACTTACTTGTCCATATCAAGTGCACATGTGCAAGACTACCCCATATGTGCATGTGATTCAAACTAAGATTTAGTCAAAACCACAGCTCAACGGTATCCTTGAGACAGACTAAGATGGAATGCAGTTCATAAT